CAGAATTAATGATGACTTATTGAATCGTCATCTGCTTTGAAAATTATAAAATCAGGAACTAGTTAGCTCTAGCCATCACAGGCATGAAAGGATTTATTTGTGATTTCTCTTGAGCCCTTGATGATTATCCATTTGAATTTTTTTGCACTGTTGACTAATAAGAAAAGTCTTCAGTAATAAACTGAGAATGGTTTAAGAAAAATACAGCTTATTTTATGTATATAAAAAGAATGATATCAGCTCAAATTAGATGCTATATCCCTGTATTTCATCTCTAGAAAATTATTAAAGAGAAAGTTTTGCGCAAAGACAAATGTTTGGACAAAATTTGGCAGCACCATAAAATTCGAGAACGTTGCAGAATAACATTGTACAGCCAAATACCGAAAACCCGCTGACCCGAAATCCACAAACTCCTGAAATCAGTGTTGCCTCTCAGAATATAAACATTCCGTTTATAGGTTCTGGAAACCGCAACATTGAGTACGAAATATCGAAGAAAAAAATACTTATCGAATAATGACGTCATAATTACCGAATGATAATGAGTCAAAATGGAAATACCATATTATTTATATAAAAAAATTTAAAAATAATATAAAATAAATACAATAAGTTTTTTTTCCCTCTAATCTGCATCGAGGTAAAAAAGCAGACGATTCACTCAACTCTATGTTCAAGTTCACGATTCACGTTGTTGTATTTTCTGAGCTCTGTTATTTCATTTCACGAGATTGTTTAGTGCTGCCTTTTTTTTATCCGGATATTTTGTGGGTAAATTAAGAATTTTTTTAATTTCAGCCCTTTTTAATACAATCACAGATAAGAAACGCACTCGTGATTTTACTGGTTGCAACGTTGAAAAACGTAAACACGTTGCATCGACGGGAACGCAAAAAGTGAAAATTCTGCAAAAGATGCAAGCAGGTGCTACTCCTCAATTTATAGCAGAATGGTATGGAATTGCAACACGATTGTGTATGATGTATGGAAAAATAAAGAAAAGCTGTTGAAATTTAGAACAGTGATTCTAAAACCGGAATCCGAAAACGGAAATCTTTGCACGAGGCGAAATCGGCAAACCTCGATGCTGTGTCCAAATATTATGCTTTTCATCTTTTTTTCCCTTGAAATCCTAAAATCCGTACAACCTCTGGTCCCAAGCTTTGCAGTTTTCTGGAATTCTACTGTATTGCCAAATATAGTTAGTTTTATTAGCATATATTTAACCATCAGGTTATATCAGCTACTAAATTTTACAGTAGTTTGTTTTATAAATTTAAGATGCTGTAGGTCAGTGGTTTCAACCTTTTCTGCTTTATGCATCTCTTTCATCGTTGCTAGAAAATCATTTCTCCCTTCTTTTCCAAACTCATTTAATAGATATAAACTTATTACAGTTTAGATTACTTTTTGACATGTTTTTATAAATTAAACAACAAAAAAGTATAGAAAATATTGATAAATACCAAAACTTAAATAAAAGTAGTTCATATTCATAAAATAAAACTAAATAATTAACAGGTAAATAAAAGGTTTCCGTATTCCCCCCTGAAACTATGAAACTTCGGGTTGAGAACTCCTATTCTAGGTTGAGTTTCCTTCCCTCAAATTATGTAGAGTAGTTATTTATTACTCTGTCACACATTTGGTTCTAAATGTATTTTTTCATTGTTAATTGCAGGAAAGCCAGAATTTATTTAGTTCTGGCTATTCTGATCTGATAGAAGAACGCTATTTTTATTTGTACACATAGTAAAAGCTAAAAATTTCAGTACTTTTCTGAAGAAGAGGCTGTATTTATTGCCAGTACTTTCTGATTTTCCGTATCCCCATTGCAGTTGTGAGCGGATTCATATTTAGCCCAACAAATGTGCAAAAGCAAATGGCTGTTATCAAAATGATGGCACACTAAGAATTACATATGAGAACAATCAATCAATAAAACTGAAAAAGCAGGAAACATTGGCAATAAAATACCTACCTTTTTTGAGAAATTATCTGTTTTTGCTTTAAAAAAATCAGAATTGCAAAAACACAGCATTGTATAACATCAGTATTGCACACCAATTAGCTAACATATGCTATGCACTTACTTGGGTGGCCGCACAACTATTTGGGCAGCATACTCCTTTGCATCCTTGATGTTTTCTAGTAGAGTTGCAGATAATCTGAATGAGCTTTCACCAGACATTAATGTTGGCATGAAAATAGAGCAGGGATGGTCAAACTTCAGTAAGAGCCACAGACTGGAATTCAGGAAAGTTTGAGAGCTGCAGCTAGATTTTCCAAAAGCCTCAAGTCCATATTTACATCATTTTAAAATATAGTAAAAAAATAGAAAATCATATCTGACAGCTTTTTAAAAAGAAATAAACTACTTCCTTCCTTTTGGATATAGAGTAGTTTGTTTACTATATTTCGCACATGTATTTTATTTGCACAAGAGGTGCACAACTCGCCTGCAAGATCCACAGTTGGCTCACAAGTTGTGCTATGGTTAACCCTGAAATAGTAATGGTAACTTTAACTACACGTTACATCTCTGCTCATATAATTGTAGTTATTTAAACAGAAGATTTCAGTATGGATGATTCTTTTCCTAAAAGTAATTTAATGGCACATTCATCATCATTTAGCAGTAGTCAAATCATAAAACTCAACTCATTTCCTTTGTCAAAATCTTGCACGTAAAATATCTTCAAATCAAAATATTTTCAGTTCACAATGTTTGACAAGATTTTCAGGGAAGAACTACTGTCTTTGGGCCATGTGTGCACATTTGGCTGCTGCTCTGTGTATGAAAAATTATCAGAATTTTAATTACTCCAATCTTATTTGAATTTAGCTTCAACTTTAGTTAGGTATTTATTTAGAGTCAGAAAAGCAATAAAGAACAACATATGATAGCTTACTTCGATATGAAACGAGGAAATCTGTCATTAAAAATTTCCAAATGTAGCCAAAAAAAGCCATGGCCATCTGCATTTCACGTTGATAACTGAGAAGAGCAGGGATTTCAGGTGTTTGTAGATTTAAGTTTGGAAGATAATTTGTCTTGCTGTATTTTTATTTATTTTATTATGTGAAGCTTTTGTAAATTCCCATTGATATATACACCAAAGAGCCATTACATTATGGCCACCCTGCTAATCACATGTAGTACCACCTTTGGCCATCAAAACTGCCAGCACCTGGTGTGGCATTGACTCCACAAGGTACTGCTACATAGTCTGAGGTACGTACCAAGCACTCAGCAAATGATCCTGTAGCTCCTGCTTATTGCGAGGATGGCAGCACGAATTTGGTTTTCTTGGTGGGACCACAAATGCTCTATTGGATTAATGTCAGGTGAACTTGGAGGCCAAAACATTACTTGAAAGTCACTGGAATGTTCCTCGAACCACTCCCTGATGATTTGATCCTTATGACATGGTGCGTTATCCTGTTGGTAAACACCATCCCCTGCCGGAAATGCTGTTGTCATGAATGGGTGAACCTGGTCTGCAATGATGTTCACATGGCACACAGACATCAGAGATTTTTCTATGGGGATTATGGGTAATAATGTGCTCCATGAAAACATTGCCAATACCATAATACTCTCCGCCACCAGGTTGTCTTTGTGCAACTCTGCATCCGGGGGCCAGGGTTTCGTTTGGAAATCAGCATATTAGCACATGCCCATCAAATTCTTCTAATGTCGAATTCTGATATTTTTTGGCCCACTGCAGATGCAGCTGGCGATGACGTGCCGTCAGTGCAGGGACATGCTTTGGCTCCCGCTGCATAGGCCCATGTGCAGCAATGTACATTGCACAGTGTATTCAGAAACACTGTCCAGGTCTCCACTGTTGTAGCTGGTGGTGATTTTGGCTGTTGTAGCTCTTCCATCATGGCGAACAATGTGTAGCAATCTCTGCTGTCCTCTGGAATCAATGTGCCATTGACGACACACTGTTGGCAAGGGACTTGTCATTTTACCATCCATGCACCACTTTCGATGTGTGCTCGCAACAGCTGCAAGTGAACAGCCCACTAAATGCGTTGTTTCTGATATTGACGTTCCTTGTTGCTGAGTCATAACGATTTGACCTTTATCGAAGTCTGATATAAATCAGCTGCTTTTCCCCTTATGTTGTTAATTGTGTTATGTATGAAAAGACGATGCATAGCCACTCTATATACTCCAACATCAGCGTGCACACACAGTGGTTTTGTTCCTGGGTGAGCCCATTGTTATAGATGGAGAGTGGTCATAATGTAATGGCTCTTCTGTGTATAGCTGATTTCTTACATGTCAGCTATATTAGATATTTCATCCATAATCCACTGCTTGTCACCTTTTAGACATATTTCTTATCACCTGCAAATTGTATCATTTGCACAGTACAAACCTGCAGTATGAAACATTTTTCTACAATAAGATAGTTTGCAGAATTTCGTGAATTATTACTCCTTTTGTTTTTTAATTCCGACCTTTGTGCCTTGTGAAGTTAATTCGTATTGACAGAAAAAATATGCATCTCTTTAATTGTAGCCCCAAACAGTGAACTGTACAATCTGCATATTTTCATATTTGTCGTAAATATCGTATTGTATTCAGCAATTGTCAAAACACTCAAAAATTGCTTTTAATTTTCAATTTTTTATCACATTTAAACAGTTTTGGATAAGCTTAAAACGATATTTAAAAATCAAGATTTTCATTCTGTAGCATTGACAACAGCAGCACTACTTTTAGCATTTCCTCATACAATTCTGCTAAAATGTATGTATTTTAAAATTTTTGTTGTATTATTTTCACTTATAAGCTTTAACACCATTAAGCTTAACATTTGTCTGTTTGAAATTCTGGTTTATTGTTTAATATGTTTTTAGTTATAACATTTATAATTTCATTTTTTTTTGTAATTTTTATAGCTTTTTAAAGGGGGGTAATTTTTTAGAATTACTTTCGATTGAATGTCAATTATATGAATATCGCATTGATTTCCTAGGTCTTGGTGGGCATGGATATTTAAAAGAATGGATTTGGTGGGCTGGCTTATTATCTAGTGAGTATTTTATCTTTTTATATTTATATATTTAAGTTCTTTGCTTTAGAATGCCAGTGAATGGAATTATAAAAAGTTAAATAAAAATTGCTTTGCATGAAAAGGCTAATTTTATTCTGTAGTGGTGTACTTTTTAACTGATCTTATGCATTTGTGAAAGAAAGAGAGATGTTGATAAAAAGCTGCAACTGAATCAATCCCTAGGGGTATAAAATAATAACAGAGTTGCAAGAGGTAAATGCTTTGATGGTAAATTCTCTTGGTGGTAAATGCTTTTATGCCTTTGATAGTAAAGCTTTGATAGTAATAGCCTCGTAAATGCCCTATCAAATTTACTCAGGTATTTTATCAAATTTTCAGTGATTCAAAGTCATAATGAAACTGCACAAACTTTACTTATGATTGCTTATTGGTTACTTACATGTAAATTTCTGTAAATATTCAAAGGACTTTTGATTGCATTATTGTTCTCCTGCATTGTAATATTGTGTATCGTTTACTTATTTGTTGCTAAGGTGATAATTTTAGTGTTTTTCCATGTTTAATCAAATTTGTGGTTACATGTGTTGTATATTTGTACTTAATTCTTATTTAGAACTGTAAATACTTTGAACCCAATAATGTTGAAATTGGGAAAATAGCTTAAATAGAACATGAGATATGGGCCTGATGGGCCTTAGTGACATTTGGCCGTTTCATGGAAACTTCTAGGAAAACACATTTTTGAAGACCAGTAACTGATTCTTACCAAAGTGTAGCTATACCTCAGCCCATGCTATACCTCAGACCTAGGATGAGTAATTGTTAATCAGTTGTAAGATTTACTGATTTATTCCTCTGAGCATTATGAAGCCGGTCATCAGAAATTTTACTACTTTCCATATATTAGCTTATAATTTAAGATATTTTGCTTTCTTACTTTCTTTAATAATGTAAATATCATCTTAATGAATGTAAGTTTATGGAAATATAGACTAAATCATACAAACTCAATTAGTAAATGCTGTTTAAATACCGGTTATCATGACAGATCTAAAATCCTGTGCCACTTAGAGGGTTAAGGAGGAGCTGACTTTGTGAGTGATTTTGAGAATGGATGCCGTGTTCTTGTGCACTAAAGAGGAGTTGCTCAACATCCCCATTCTGCTTCAATTATTTATTGTGATGCTCAATTATTAACTTGTATAATAAATAATGTAACCTCATTAACTTGTTATTAATTTCACCCTGCTTTTCTGGATTGATTATTTAAAGAGATCTCAACAAAACCAGCAATATGTCTGTGTGACTGTGTCACTGTTTTATCTTTACTTTAACCATTTTTTAAACTTCTAAACAATAATTATGATTTTTGCGTATTATGGTACAAAATGTGGTATTTGGATAATCCGTGTGGAGTAATTTGCCTTTGTATGTGTATTTTACTGCAATCTGTATTCTTTTCTGATTTTTAGTTTTAGTGGAATCATTCATTATCACAATACTAATAATTTAAAACATATTTGTACAAACTATGTTCTAAATTCTGTTTTCAGTGGGCATTGGAGAAGCTGCTAATTTCGCTGCATATGCTTTTGCACCTGCTAGCTTGGTCACCCCACTTGGTGTTCTCAGTGTGCTTGTAAGGTATAAAATAGTTTCAGACATGTTTTATTAGAAAAATTCATTAATTTTCATTGCATAGTTTACAGTGCATTAAATTCTATCTTTTTCTACTTCCATATTTGCTTTTTCTACTATAGCAACATTATATCTGAGAGGTATTTTATTGCTTTTATATCTGAAATTCACTGAATGCTCTAATTTTAAATGTCATTTATGTGTACTTAGTTATACATATTAATTGAGAGTTCTGTAGTACATATCTTAACTGAAAACAGCTGAATGGTGCTGTATGGTGCATTTATGGTTTTTCCCTTTGGTAATGAGAATACACATTGACAAAAACATGAAAAGATTATATAGCTTAGCATACAGTTGCAAGCCTGTGTTCCTTAGAAAATCCTTCGTGAAGCCATCCCACTTCTTATATAGGTATCTTTAACGTGGTAAATGACACTCATTAATGTATTTTTCTCTAAAACAACAAATTTATAAAATTGCAAATGGGTGACACTGAGATATCATTAATAGCAGCTGTCTTCTTCTTTAAGCCTCTTTATTTTCGTAAGTAATTTAGTTTCATGATAACTTTTTTCTATGCTATTTATTTCTTTCAGTGTGGAGTATAAATTGTGGTTACTTTTTAAGGAACTTCATTCATTCTTATGTTATATAGTGAGTATGACTTCTGAAAAAAGCCCAGAACTAAAATAAAAAATAGTAATTCCAGGTAAAGAAAGTTACTTTTTGAAGATAAATGGTGTATCGGATCACTTTTCAAATGAAGTCTGTATGTTGGTGAGAGATTTGAGTTTTATGCAGTTGAAGTGGAATGTTTTATTGAAAAGTCATGAAACTCTTTTAACACTAATTATTTTTATTACGTATGCATACTTTTTGACTTCAAAAAGTTAGATTATTGACAATTGTGTAATGATTTACAAATTCAGGAAGATGCATTAAAATAAAAACTTGTTAAAATGTATAGAGGAACGATTAGTACATAGTACTAGCATGAACCATATGTCATCTACAGCTTCAAATTCATGGATATGATTTTTTATTTTGTATGTCATTTCTAGTAGCATGAAGAAAGACTTTTCCATCACTAATATATTCTCACATATTCCTGTAGATCATACTTGTATATTGTTCATATGCATATCAGATATGAAAACACTGAAGATAAGATTGCATATTCAGAACCACTTGTTCAACTCCCTTTTAGAAATCATCTTTCCTCCTCTAGGTCTTTGAACAGTTTGCTACACATAGTAGGGAGCATATAGGAGTTAATGAAAGCTGTCGCAAAATGAAATACTTAAAACTCTCCATGAGCTTGATATAGTAAGCTTATAGGAAATATCTGTAACAATGGTACATCAAAGATGTCATATAGATGGTATTGTTGCCAGGGTCACTAAAATTTTAGAGATGCATTTAAATGGTAGAAGTTAAAACTAAGTGTTCAAAATTGTCACTTCCAACAACACTGTTGCATTTCTGTAAGCAAATTATCCAAATATTAAATGCTTCAAGTCATCCTTTTCCTGAAATCGATGAAAAATTTGCTTTATATAATATTTTCAGTGTCATCCTTGGAATGAAAACAATTGTCATTCAAATTTTGTGTTTGATTTAAAAAATAGCCAAAAGTTACACATAGCAAGATGAGAATAGGGTGGATGTGTTATAAATAGGATGGAATTTGTGTGTTGAATAGGGCAAATGTGTTTGCTTTAGTGTGTGTTTTTGTTCATGAAATTCAATTAAGAGGATGCTTGAGCCCTCTAAATTTCGCTTCTTAAAGAATTGCTGGAAGATGGTAGCAAACCCGACTTTTTAGAACAGCAAAAAACGGTATATACAATGGATGGACAAAAATATGGAAACACCTTGTGAAATGCATGTTTAAAAAGAAAGATTAATTTTAATGAAATATGTAGGCGGCGCTGGCGTTTTTTGACTCTGACGCCACTATATAACTTCGTAAATGTGCTAACAGTCAGTTGTTGTCGGAGTACTGTTATGTAGGTTGTCGTTGCATTTGTCAGAGTTAACAGAGACGTGGCAAATTGTTGGAGCACGTATGGTGGTGCTTCGTAAGCAAGGTAGCCGAGTGTTTAGTGTTTCAAGAGGTCTGTATCGAGGATTTATTCCGCATATTTGAAAAGCGAAAAACATCATCTGCTAAATCACAGCGGGACGAAAGTGTGTCCTGAGTGATTGTGACAGACGATCATTAAGGGCAATGTGACGAAAAATAAGAAGACCACAGCTGCAAAAGTATGCTGAAATGACTGTTGTGTTACCGAGCCCTGTGAGTACCAAACAATTAGAAGGGAGCTTCATAAACAGGGAATTGCTGGCCATGCTGCAATTGAGAGCCACTCATCAGTGATGCTAATGCCCGTAACAGGAAAAGGGGTGTTTAAGTCATAAAAGCCTGGACTATAGAGCAGTGGAAGCGAGTAATATGGTCTGATGAGTCTTCTTTCACATTGTTTCCCACTTCTGGCCGAGTTTACGTCTGGAGAACCGCCATCTCAAGCCTATAATACAGACTGCTGTCGCCAAGAGTGAACATGGCGGGGGTATGTTTATGGTTTGTGCAGCCATATCGTGGTTCTCTGGCCCCATGATAACTGTGTCAGTGCACATGACTGCCATGACTTATGTGAACATTTTGGCTGATCAAGTTCATCCCATGGTACAAACTTTTTTCACCGATGGTGATGGTGTCTTCCAAGACGACAAAGCCCCTGTTCACACAGCTCACATTGTCCAGGACTGGTTTTCTGAGCACGAGGATGACTTGTCCCATCTTCCCTGGCCACCACAGTCACCAGACTTGAATATTATCGAACCTTTGTGGTCTACATTGGAACGGAAAGTGCGTTCTCGTTATCCACCGCCAACATCGTTATCTGAACTTGCCACCATTTTGCAGGAAGAATGGTATAATATTCCCTTGGCAAACGTACAGGAACTGTATTTATCCATTCCGAGAAGACTGCAAGCTGTTTTGTATGCCAACGGGTTTCCTACAGCATATTAAGCAAAGAAACATGTTTTTTTTTAAGGTTTTTCCATATTTTTGTCCAACCCCTGTATGTTTCATCACAAGTTATGATTCTAGAAGTAATGTGTTGTTTGTAATCATTAAGTCATTTTATGGTTTTTTATATTGATTCTGGCATGCTTTGTATTTTGATATTCTGTTTATTTACGGGGGACCCAAAAACAAACTTATTTTTTCATATGCACTTCTTCATGAATAGTGTAAGTTATTGTAGACCCAGTGTTAGGTTCCTTCTGTATAGTTTGATAAGTACAGCAATTATCATTGATTAACATTTTTTTCATACGTTTGTTACATCTTCTGGGACTACGGCTGACAAACATTGTCCTATGTGTTCATCTAGGACAGAACTGCAACCTCAACAAAATTCTGTAAACCACCTGAATTCAGTGACATGTAGACGAAGTCATTCTTCTTCTAACCACTTTAAAATCTTTGTAAATCACAGCATGGTAATCCTCTCACTTCACCTCCATTTTCCTTACTTTCAAAATTTTTTCTGCAAGAGATAAATTACAATTATAACATTCATTATCATCTGTGGAAGTAAGTGTTCAAATTTATACATCTAACAAATAATTCTGTTTTAGCACATATTGTCTGCCACTGTCTTAAAAATTTCTGAGTTGCCTATATATTTTGTATAGATGCTATGTAGATGTTATAAGTTGATACTTTGTGGTGTAATGTACTTCCTTAGACACACTAATCTTGCTTGGTTCTCTATAAAAATTTGAATCATAAGAAATATCCTGCACCAGCAAGTTAATAATTCATTTGCAACCGTGTGTTACATTTTATCAAAATGCCTGTAGTCTGAATCAGAATCAAGTGGTCATATGACAACAGAAGAAAATTTGTTTCATGCTTGTATTTATATACTAAAATAGTGTGTTGCATTCTTTTGCCATATGTAAAAATATGATCCAAATATTTATGTTAATTCGTGTTATTTTAGTAACTTTGCAATTTACTTTCGTTAAAAGTGAAAAGTGTCTGAGAGGCCGCCTAGTCAATATAGTGGTCAGGGAAGCTGACTGTGATGCCAAAGGGCCTGGTTTCGAGCCCGGAGAAGGCATGATTGTAACTGTCTCTCCTCTTCATAGGAAAGGCGATGGTGACCCACCTATTAGGCACCTCCATAATAAAGAGACCACCACATCTGTCCTTGTATAGATTAATGGACTGTGTTACATTTGTAATTGTTCATAATCTGCCATTGAAAAAAAAAAGTGTCTGAGAGACATAACTGCTTTTATTTAGTCATGAGATTTGCTGTTACTTTATATACATTGCCTAGCTGTTTAAAGTACTTTGTGTTCTGATTTTTTTTAAATGATCTAAATGTCATCGTAATGAATGAAAATTTATGAAAACAAAGAGTAAAATAAGCAGTCTTGCAAAACTAGCTGATGATGATGTTTGAATACAGATCTTTATGAGCGGATCCAAAATGCTGTGCTACTGAGATGTTTAAGGACATGAAAGTGCCATGCTAGGGATAAGCATCATGGACATTTATCAATGTAAGGTACCATGTTTTATCATTTGAAAGTGTATAAAGTAATCCTGGTGAAATATTTCTTTTCCTAGTTGACAAAAGTAACAGAAACAGGGTGCCACGCTACCTGGAAAACCAGAAAAAGTCAAGGAATTCAAAAATTGACCAAAAATTTCAAGGAAAAGTCAGGGAATTTCATGCAGTAATACCCCAAAAAAGCAAGTTTTGTACCGACGTTAGAAGCAATCACTTTCTTGGTGAATTATGTATCATACGGATGTCTGGTATAGAGCCAATTTTTCACAGCTCCAGTTAGATTGTCTTTTAGAAAGGCAAAGCAAGTTTCCAGTAACCTTGAGAATCAAGAGACTCGCATGCGCATGTACTAATGTATGTTGAATTAAAGCAAATATGTATTCTCGTATAAAACAAAATCGGTTT